AACCCAACAACACCCACACATCACCCCACACCCTCAAACAACACAACCATCAACCCACCCCCCCCAAAACCACCCCCACAACCAAACACACAACACACACCAACAAACAAATATACCACACCAACCCCACCCCCACACAAACCAACCACCACCCAACCCACACTCCCACCAACCACAACCCCCCCCCCACACAACCCCCAACCCCAACCAACCCCTCCCAAACCACATTCACTAAACACCCCAATACACACCACCAAAACACCACCCCCCCTACCCAACCACACAACACACCACCCCCCCACCCCAACACACCAACAAACCACACCAAAACACCTCCCCTCCCCACCACACCCAAAAACCCAAACCAAACACCCACACACAACCACTCACCACACCCACATTCCCCACTACCCCAATCAACCCAACTCCACCAACACACCACTAAACCCCCTCCCTAACCCCAACACCCAAACACCCCACACCACCCACCCACCCCCACCCACCAAACCCACCCCCAACCACCAAAAACAAAACCCCACCACCCCACCACATCCAACCACCACCCCCCCCCAACCACCCCCCCCCAACCCCCTCCCCCCCAAACCACCCACCCAAACACACACACACCACAACCACACCCCACAACCCAACCCCACCACACCCCCCCCCCCACCCACCCACCCCCACCCCAACCCACACACCCCACAAACCCCCCCCAACCCAAACCACCAACCCCCCACCCCACACCCAACCCCCCACTAAAAAACACCACCCCCCCACAAACCCACCACCACCCACAAACAACCCAACACCACAACACCAACCACACCCACCCCCCCACCACACACCCCCACCCAAACACCCACCCCCAAACCACCCCCCCCCAACCCCCACACAAACACCACCCACCCCCCCACCCCCCCCCCCCCCCCACCCCCCCAACAAACCACAACCCCACCCCCCCCCCCCCCCACCCACCACCCCCCCCCCCCACCCACACCCCCCCCCCCACCCACCCACCACCCCACCCCCCCCCCCCCACCACCACACCACACAACCACCCCACACCACCCCCACCACCACCCCCACCACACACCCCCACAACCAACCACCCCCCAAACCCACCCCACCCCTAACCAACAACCCCCACCCACCACCCACCAACCCCCCCACCCCCCCCCCCCAACAACAAACAACCCCCACCCCCAACCCCCACACCCCCACCACCCCACCAACACAAACCACCCCACACCCACCCAACCACACACAACCAAAACACACCAACCCCCAACACACACACAAAAAAAACACAAACAAACACAAAAACACCACCCCCACACCAAAACAAACCCCCCCCACCCACCCCCCCCCCCAACATCCCAACCAAACAACCACCCAACACCCCAAAAACCCCACCCCCCCACCCAAACCACCCCCCCCACCCCACCCCACACACCCACAACCCCCAACCCCAACCCACCACCACAACCCACCCCAACCCCCCACAACCCAACCACACCCCCCCACCCAAACAACCAACAAAAAACCCCAACAACCCCCCACACCCACTACCCCACCAACACCACCCCACCACCCCCCCCACCCCACCCCAACCCCAAACCCCAACCAACCCACCACACATCAAACACCACACAACCTACCCCACACCAACCCCCCCACACACACACACCCACACCCAAAACACCACAAACCCCCCCCATCACATACTAAAACCACATACCATCACCATACCCCTTCAATCAATCCCACAACCACCTCATACCATCACCCAATACACCTATATCCCCAAACATCAACAATATAACAATATCCCCACCCAACCACTCAACTAAAAACACACCAATCATCAATATACATAACTCTATCATCTACAAAACTACAAAAAAACACAAACATCCCCAAAACAACAAAACTAAACCCCCAAACAAAACACCCACACAACCACCCCCCCCAACACACCCCACACACAATCCAAACACACAACACACACACACCATAAACACCACAAATAAATACAACCCCCAAAACACATAACTCCCACCATAACCAATACCCCTTCCAAACCAAACCACACCAACCCACTTACTCACCAAACAAAACTAATTCAACTCCCTTCAATACCATTAATCCCCCCCCCCCACACCCCCTACCAAAACCAAACCAACACTCACCACAAATCATAACATACAACCCCCTAAATCCCCCATACCCACCAAACCCCCCCCCATCCTTCTCATTCCCTCCTACACAAAAAACTAACCAATCCATCATCCTCTAACCCTTACCCCCCCCCCATATCTATCCAACCACAATATATAATCTCCCAAACCAATACCAAACCCCACTACCCTACTCTCAATATACCTCACCCTATACCACTATATTAAACCCAATTTCCCACCTATACAAAACATCCCCCATCCAACCCCTCACCCCCCCCCTCACACAACCCCCTCCCCCACCCCCTCCTCACCCCCTAATAACCCCTAAACCCACCCTTATCCTCTCCTCATCCATACTCAACCAAATTCCCCCACTAATCAATCACAACACCCCCCCCCCTCCCCCCCTAAACCTATCTCCCCACCCCCTTTACCCTCACCTCAACCACATCCTATTACTCCATCCCCTTTATTCATCCAATCTAACTCTTCAAAAACACAAATTTTTCCACTACTCCCAACAATTTCCCTTTTCACCATAACCTCAATCTCCAACCATATTAACCCTACACCCAAAATCCCCCACCCCACCCCCCAATCCCAACTAAAATTCCCTCCAACCCCACCCAACAATCCAACCCAAATCCAAATACATCCACCCATCCCCTCTCCTCCCTCCCCCCTTCTCCCCACCCAAACAAACTACCCAACCTTATCCTATCCAAACCCCATATCACAAATACACCCCCCATAATCCAGACATCTCCCCACAACCCTAAATACCCCCCCCACCACTCATACCCATCCCATATCACTCCCCTACCCTACCCCACACCCTACCCAATCACTTAATCCCTCTACAACCATCCCAACCTAACATTACACACTCTTCCACCCAACACTCCCACTAAACAAACTAATCCATAACCCACATAACCCACAAACTCCTGCCACCCTTACACACAACCATTCAACCACATACACAAACCAAACCACCCCATCTTCAAAACACCCTTTAAATCCCCATACCCCCACCCTACACAAAATATAAAAACAAACCACAATCATTCCCACAAACCCCCTCCCTTACCACAACGTCTAAAACAAACATACCCACCGCTCCCCCCTCCCCAACATACCCAACAATCACCCATCTTCCTCCCATCCCCCTTAACCCAATTAACTTCCCAAACACATCCCCCACCTAATTTCCTATTCCCCCCCCAATTCCATACCTCCTCCCCTCCCAAATCACACACCATCCTTTCCCTCCAAACATTCCATACTCTTTTTCCCCTCACACCACAAAAACAATACTCTCCCCCCCTATAACATATATACCTCCCATCTTATACCTTTACCTTCCCTCCTTTCACATCCAATTCCCCACAACACCCACCAATAATCACATTACCCCTACTATCCCCCACTTCACTCACCCTATCCCCTACTTAAATCCCACCCATCCCCACACCCCAACACCATACCTCTATCCACCCCCCCCCCCTTCCCCCAAACCCCCCACCCACCCCTTTATACAATTTTACACTATATATCTTTATCTTCTCCCAATTCCTCACATACTTTCCATCCTCATCCCCCCCCATCCCCTTTCAAACTCTCACATCCTCCAACACAACTAACCCCATACAAAACTAAACCCTTTCCCAACAACCACACACTCCCCCACCCCCCCCTCCAACCATAACACCTCTTAATATCCCACCCTCCCCCTTACTCCTTCATACATCAACTCAATCCACACCCACCCCACCACACCCATCTCCTTAACTAACCAAAATCAACTCACACTCAATCAACATAATTAATAATAAACCCTTATCCACCTCCCCCCCACATCAAATCATCTCACCTCCTCCCTACCAACTCACTTCCCCCCTCACCCACCCACCCACCCATCCTCCCGACTCCCACCCACCCACCCACCATCCTCCATACTCTCCCCTCCACCCACCCACCACCCAATCTCCCTACTCCCACCACCACCCACCCATCCTCACATAAAACACTCCCACCCACCCACCACCATCATCACCATAATCACACCCACCCCACACCCATCCTCCATACTCCACCACCACCCACCCATCTCCAATACTCCCAAACCACCCACCCACCCATCCTCCCATACTCCCACCAACCCACCCCACACATCCCACCCATTCACCCACCACCCCTTCCCCCCATACGCTCAATCTCCCACCCTCACCCACCCTACACAAACAAATAAAACCTACTACCACAAAACTCCTACAACCCATTACCACAACTATAACAATACCCCCAATCCATCAAACAACCAACAACCATACAAACAAAAAACAAACAAAAAACAAATAAACTACCAAAAATTACCACCCACCATCTCTTTACTATACTACTCCTTCCACCCATTCCTTTCCCACCCCTCTAAACTTCCACACCCTCACCTCATCATCTCCTAATCTTCCCAATAACTCTAATCCCCCAACCCCTACCCAAAAACCATTCATCCCAACCCACCATACCCATACCCCTCCATTCCCTCTTACAAAACCAAATTAATCCCATTCCACAAACCCTACCTAATACTAACTTACCCCACCTCCTCTAATCCCAAACCCCCCTTAACAAAACCCACCCCTCCAAAAATATCAAAACACCCCCATCCACCCAACCAATCCCCTTTCATCACCCCCTACCCACAAATTCCATAAAATACCCCATATCCCACTACTAGAACCTTCACCAAATATTCCCCCCCCCCTTCCCCTCCACACAACCAAAACCACACCACTAATAATAATAATCTCTTAATCAACAACCACCCCCCCTCAACAACCCCCAACCAACCCCCCCCCAATCAACCACCCCCCCCCCCCCACCCCCCCATACCCACCAAACCCCCCCCCCCCCACCCACACACACAACCCCCCCCACCCCAAACCCCCCCCCCCCCCCCCCCCCCCCCCCCCCCCCCCCCCCACCCCCAATACCCCCCCCCCCCCCCCCACCTAACCCACCTCAAACCCCTATCCCCTTCTTTCATCAAATCCACCCACCCCCAATCCTTACACCCACATACCTTTCCCCCCTCATCCCCCACTCAATCAATTCCCCAACATTACCCAAACCTACTACCCTTCATACCCAAACACCCATCCAAAACAAAAAACCACACCCCTCTATCCACCTCCAAAACAAAAAACGAAAACACCCACATCAATTCAATCCTACCAAACATCCAACACAACACTATCCCACATCCTACATTCTTCCCCCCCTCCACCCTACACCCACCCACCCACCCACCCACCCACCTTCACAACAACAACCCACCCAAACCAAAATTCCCCACCCACCACCCACAAACCCTATCACATCCCAAACCAATCCCACCCCACACAACACCAAAAAAAACTTAACAAACACCACACACCCAAAAAAAACAACAAACACAAACATCCACACAACAAACATACAAACACCCAAACAACCACACAAACAAACGACAACACCCCAAACACCAAACAAACCAACAACAACACCTCAAACAAACCAACAAACAAACATAAAACACCAAACCCAACCAAACAAAAAACATACAAAACCACCCAACAAACAAACACACATACAAAACCCCACACAAACAAACAACATACAAACTATACCTACCCCCAAACACAAACAACCAACATACACAACCCACACAACCCAAAAAACAACATCAAACATATAATCCTACATAACTATTTATATATCAACCCACCCTACCCTTAAATATATCCTCTTCCTCCCTATACCCACCACCACCCCCCCCCACCCCCAACCCCACCATACCAACAACTCCATCTACACTATCATCCCAACCCCTTCTCAACCCATCTTTTATATTATCAATATCCTTAATCCCCCCTACTAATAAATAAAACATAACTCACTCATCCATCCCAAATAATACCCCACCCACACTAAACAACCACTCCCTCAACACACAAACCCAAACTCAAATATATCTTCTTCACCTCACTTCCAAACAAACCCTCCCACCCCATCCCCCCCCATCCATATCAACCTTAAAATTCCAATAACTAAACACAATACCAACACCCAATATCATAAACCTACCACCACCCTACAATCCAACACACACTTCTTAAACACCATAAATTCCCACCCTACTTATATCCATCAAACCTAATCCTCCCAATATATCCTTCTTCACTCCAACCCCCCCAACCATAATAATCCCACCCCACTTCAAATATCCCTCCATACCCCTCCTTCCTTAATCTTCACTTTCTCCTTCACATCCAAACACATACATACTCTATCCCCCCACAAAACCAAACCTTTACCACATAATAAACAATACATACTAACTCACCAAACCCCCCTTTTAACCTATATAAACCACCCCACACTCCATTCCTAACATATAATTAACCAAATACCCCCCACCTCACCACAACCACACACCCCCACTCATAACATATTACCCATACCCCACCACCCTTCTCCTAATCAACCATCCCACACCCAACCACCACCACAAACTATACAACCTACCACCACCTATCCCCACAAACCCTTCACACCCCCCCACTTTACCCACATATCATCACCAACTCCCCATCCACCAACCCACACTACAACAACAAACAAACCCATACCCAATCCAAAAAAACCCAACCAACACCTATCAACCCCAAATACAACCCCACCCCACTACCACAACTCAACCTAAACCCCACTACCCCCCCCCCCTATCATCACAACCCACACCCAACACCCACCCACAACACACCACTCCCCCCACCAACCACCCACCCCCACCCACCCACCACCCACCCACCCCCCACCACCCCCCCCACAAATTACTTAAACTACCAAAACCCCTACACCCTACCCCCCACCTATCCTATCCAACACACACCCCCCTCAATAACACCCCCCATCAAACTCCAACCCACCACAAACCTCCCAAACATCCCCACACACATCCATCCCACTCAATTAACACCCACCCCCAAAAAAAACCACAACCACCAACCCCCACTAAAAACCCCCACCCTACCCCTACCTTAATACAAATCAAAACCTCCCCCACCCCAAAAACTTAACAACAATCACCCTAAAACACCCCACACATCAATAAAACAACCCCAACCCCCCTAAAACCCTCCCACATCCCCTACTCAACCCATCCTCTAACCCCCCCTACCATATCCTACCACTCCCCCCCCAACCCAAATCCCCCACCATCCCCCACTATACCACTACACCTATCTCTCACTAACCCTCATCAATCCCTCCTACCAATCCACTTCTTAAATCTATCTCCCCCAAACTCCACCCCCAAAAATCTATATAATTATCCTCCCCCCAAATCATCCAATCACATACTCCACACTCCCACAAAAAATACACACCTACCTTTTCCACAAACACCCCCCCTTCAATCCACCTCCCCCCTCTCCTAACACCACATACACCCCCAATATACATACATCACCATACCCCAACCACACCCCCCTACCAACCATACCACACACAACCATCCCCCCCACCCCCACCACTCAACCCAACCCAACAACCCCCCCACCCCAACCCCCAACCCACACCAACCCACACCCACCCACAACACCCACCAAACCACCACCCACCACCCCCACAAACCACACAACAACAACCCCACAACAACCAAAACACACCACACACACCACCACCCCCACACCCAAAACCAACAACCCCCACAAAACACCCACAACCACCCACACCCCTACAACCCCATCCCAACCCCCAACACCAACACACACCCCCCCCCCCCACAACCCAACACCCCAACACCACCCACCACCCACCCCCCACCCACACACCCCACCCCAACACCACACCTACCCCCCCCCCAACCCCCACCACCCCCACACCACCACCACACCCCCCCCAACCACCCCCCCCCCCAACCCCACCCCCCCCAACCCCCACCACCCACAAAACCACCCACCCACACCATACACAACCCCACAACAACCCCCACACCCTCCCCCACCCCCACCCCCACCCCCAACCACCCACACCCACAAACCCCCCACAACAAACCAAACCCCCACCCCACCACCCACACCACCCAAAAAACACACCCCCCCCACACAACCACCACCACCCCACAAACACACCCCCCCAACACCCCAACCACCACTACCATACACCCCCACCCCCCCCCCACCACACACCCCACAAACACCACCCCCCCATACCACCCACCCCAACCCAACACACACACCACCCACCCCCCACCCCCCCCCCCCCACCCCCCAACACACCAAACCCCACCCCCCCCCCACCACCACCACCCCCCCCCCCCCCCCACACCCACACCCCCCCCCCCCACCCCACCCCCACCTCCCCCCTACCCCCCCCCCCCCCACCAACATAAACTCAACACCAAACCCCTCACCCCACCACCACCCCCACCACCCCCCACCCATAACCCAAATACAACCAACCCCCAACCACCCCCACCCCACAACCAACACCCCCAAAAAAACCACCCACCCCACACAACCCCCACCCCCCCCCCCCCCAACACAACAACCCCCCCACCCCCCAACCCCCCACACCCCCACCACCCCCACCACACACCAACACACCACCACACCCACCAACCCCACACACAACAAAAACACACCCACCACCACCCCCAACACTCACACAAACAAAAAAACACAAACAAAACAAAACACCACCACCCACCACAAAACCACACCCCCACCACCCCCCCACACACCCCACCCAAACACCCCACCAAACCACCCAACCACCACCCCACCAAACACCCCACCCACCCACACACACCAAACCCCCCCCCCAAACCCCACCCCACCACAACACCCCCACCCCACCAACCCAACCCACACCCCCCACCCACCAAAACCACCAACAACAACCACCCCCACCCCCACCACAAACCCACCACCACCACACAAAAACCAACCCCACACCCACCACCCAACCCCCAAAAACCATCCTCTTACTTTCTCAATCTCTCTAAAATTACCCCTACAACTTTCCTACCTAAATCTTCCTCCTCCCACTTTTATCACCCTCTCTCACCCACCACTCATTATTTTTCCTCAAAATAATTCAACATCAACATAATTCTAATCCCTAATAACCCTCTTATCACTCTCAACCTAAACCCCTTCTCTACATCATTAAAAACTCCCCTCCTAAACCACCAAACTTCCAAAACCTATACACTACAACAAAAATTACTTACCCACACACACTACAACTAAACAAATACACAACCAACCTACCAAAACAACACTCAAACCCCCCCCAAATACTACCACCCCCCCCAACAAAAACCACCACCCCAACTACCACCACCTAAACCCAACCCACATCCTTCCAACACCAATCAAAAACCAACAACAAAACCAAACCAACACATCAAAACACACACCAATACCACACACTACCAAAATACAACCTAACCCAACCACTATACCCCAAACCACAATAACACAAAACCACCCAACAATACAAACATTACAAACACCCACACCCCCCCACTCACCCCCACACCCAACTCCACACCTCACCCCCCTCCCTACCCCTCTCCCAACCCCCCACCCACCTCCATAACACACACCCCCCCAACACCATCCACAACCAACACCCCCCAAACCACATCACAACACCCCCCCCAACACCAACCACACCCAACCACCCCCCCCCAACCACACATCCACACCCACATCACCCACAAACCCCTCAAACCCCAATCCACACCATACCCCCCCACCACCCCCACCCCCACCACACCCCCCCCACCCCCCCCCCACCCACCCCCCCTCCACCCCCACCCCCCCCAAATACCACTAATCCCACCCACCCCACCCCAACCACCCACCCCCCCCCCCACCCCCCTCACCCAACCACCCCCAAAACAACCCCAAACCCCAAATAACACCACCCCAAACAACACCCCAACACAAAAACCACAACCTCACACATACAAACTCCCACTTACTATATCACCATTCACCTCCACCCCACCACTCCACCCACCCACCCCAATAAACCAATCCCTCCAACCCCCCCAAAAACTCCAACCAAATACATAATCACCCATCCCCTTCCTCCCCCCCCTACTCCCCCAACCCCAACACCTCAACTACCCACCATATCCTACAAACCCCATCTACAAATACACCCCATTTTCACCCATCTCCACAACCCTAACCCCCCACAACCACCTCATACCATCCATCTCATCCATTACCCCACCCCAACACCTACCACTCACTCATCCTCAAACCCAATCCCCAACCTTAACATTACCACTCTTCCACCCCAACACCACTAAACAAACTCATATAACCCACATAACCACAAACTATCCCCCCTTACCACCACCATTCACAACCACCACAACAAACCACCCAAATCAACCACTATCAATTCATACCCCACCTACACAAAATCTCCAACAACCACACCAACTATCCACCCCACCCTCATAATTAACACAAACCATCCCCCTTCCCCCCCCCTCCCCCAACATACCAACATACCATCTTCCTCCCATCCCTTCACCACTTAACTTCCAACACAACCCCACACCTAATTTTACTTTCCCCCAATCCCATACCTCTTTTTTCAACTACAATCTCTTCCTCAAAAATTCCATACTCTTTTTCCCCCCTCACCCCACAAAACAATACCTCTCCCCCCTACTCACATATATACCTCCATCTTTATATTTACCCCTTTCCCCTCTTTCACAAACAATCTCCAAACACCACCAATATCACATTACCACCCCCCCTCTATCCCACTTACTCCCACCTACCCTACTTAACATCCCCCCATCCCCACACCCCCCACACCATACTTATCCCACCCCCCTTCCCCCAAACCCCCCACCCCCACCCCTTTATAAATTTTACACTATATATCATTCATCTTCTCCAATTCTCCACATACTCTTAATTATCCCCATCCCTTCAAACTCCTACATCTAAACACAACCTAACCCATACAAAACTAAACCTACTCCCAACCCACACCAATCCCCCACCCCCCCTCCAACATAAAACCTCTTAATTCCCACCCTCCATTACTCCTTCCTACCTAATCATCCTACACACCCCACACACCCCCATCTCTAACTAACCAAAATCATCAACTCAATCAACATACTAAATCCCATTATCCACATCCCCCCCAATAATCAATCTACCTCCCTTCACCAACTTCCATTCCCCTCCCACCCACCCCCCCCACCCATCCTTCCATAATCCACCACCCACCCACCCATCCTCCCATCTCTCCTCCCACCACCACCACCCATCCTCCCATACTCTCCCCCACCCACCCACCCATCCTCCCATATCCCACCACCACCCACCATCCTCCCCTATCCCACACCCACCCACCCATCCTCCCATTTACTCCCACCCACCACCATCCTCCCATACTTCCCACCACCCACCCCACCATCCCTCCCATACTCCCACCACCACCCACACATCCAACCCATTACCCCACCCACTTCCCCAAAACTACCTCACCCCACCCACCCCACACAAACCCATCAAACTCAACCAACCCTCCCACCATACCCACAAACAAAAAACAATACCCCCCTCAAACAAACAACAACCAAAAACAAACAAAACAAACAAACAACCCAAACACAAACTACCCCAAAATTAACACATCCTCTTTACCTCTCCTACTCCTTCCACCCCATTCAATACACCCTCTCAAACACACACACCCCACCTCTTTCTCCTACTCTCAATCACACAATCCCCCACCCTACCCCACCCATTCATCACACATACCAACCCCCCTCCCTTCCACTTACACCCACTAACAATTCCACACACCACCAAAACCAAACTAACCCCACAAAAATCAAACCCCCACACCAAAACCACCCACACACACAACCCAACAACCACACCCCAATCCCCCTTATCACCCCAACCACCACCTTCCATAAAAATACCCATAACACCTACTATTAACCTTCACCCCTATCCCCCTTCCTTCCCCAACCACAACCCAAAACAACCACTAATCATAATAATCTCTCTCACAAACAAAAATATTTCATACAAATTCCTTCCCCCCCCCTACCACCCCTAATACCCCCCCCAACCCCAACTAACTAATAATCACCACAAAAAACCCTAAACTAATCCCCTTATTCTCCCACCCCCCCTAAATTCAAAAACCCCACCCCCTAAAAACCCCTATCCACTCTTTATCAATCCACCACCCAATCCTTAACCACAATATTTCCCCCCCTCATCCCAATACATCATCATTACCCAAAAACCCTACTCCCATTCCTAACACACCACCATCAAACAACAAACACACCCCCTCAATACCTCAAAAAAAAAACTACAAACCCACTTTCAAATCTTACAACCATAAATCCACACTACCCCACTCCCTACATTCTCCCCCCCATCACCTACACCCCCACCACCCCCCCACCCAACCTTCCCACACCACCCACCCACAAAATTCCACCCCCACCCACAAACCAATACCACCCACCCACACAATCCCACCCCCCCCCACACAAAAAAAACTAAACAAACACCCCCACCACCCACCCAAAAAACCAAACAACAAACACCCAAACAATCCACACAAACAAAATACAAAACCAAACAAATAACAAACAAACAAACAAACCCAAAAACAACAACAAACAACCACAAAACCAAAAAACCCCCAACCAAAACATACCCACCCAAACAAAACCAACAAACATACAAAACCCAAAAACCCAAACACACAACATCAAAACCCCAAACAACCCACAAACAAACAAACATCCAATCTACTTACCCCACCAACCAAACAAAACATACATCCAAACCCCCAAAACCAAACAAACAAAACATACAAACTAATAATCTACATTACCACTTTTCTTATACATCTACCCACCTCCTTCAATTATTTCCTCTTACTCCTTTCCCCCTCCTCCTCCCCACACACTACACCCCAACCACATACTAAACTACATCTAAAACTATCATCAACCTTTCCTCTACCACTCATTCTTCAAAATTATCATATTCCTATCAATTCCCCCCTACCTAATACCTAAACATATACTCACTCATCCCTCAAACCATACCCACCCCAACCTAAACCAACCACTCCCTATTCCACAATACCCCAACAATCCAAAATATTCCATCCTCCTACTCACATCCCCCCCAAAAACCTCCCACCCCACATCCCCTCCCCATAATCATACTTAAAATTCCCAATTCCAATATAAACAATCCATACCCAACACCAAATACTCTAAACCCATACAACACCCTCACAATACCCAAACAACACTTCTTAAACCTCATAAATTCCACCCCCCCTTCTTTCCTCAATACCCTCTCCTCAATTCAAATCTTCTTCCCACTAACCCCCCACAACAAACTACCCCTCCACACCCCATTCACAATATTATCCCACTACCCCTCCCTTTATTAATTTCAACTTCTTCTCCTCTTAATACCCAACCCTTAAATCTTCCTTCCCCCCAACACAAACCCCCAACCATATCCCCACCTACACCTAAAAAACCATATCCCCTAACTCCCACCTAACCACCTCTTTAAAATTTTAAACCCAACCACACCTCACTTCTTAACATACTATTAACCCATCATCCCCCCCCACAACCCCACCACACACCCCTCTCATTCATATTACCCTACCCCCAAACTACCTCCCTCCCACCTAATCACCCTAACCCCAAACCACAACCCACAAACCTCTACAACTTAACCACATTATCCCCAAACCCTTCAACCCACCCCACTTAAAACCATAAATCAAAAACTCACCTCCAACCCCACAACACAACCAACACAAAACATACACCTAACAATCCCCACTAAACACCCATATAACCTATCTCCCCCCAAAACCCAAACTAAACACTCCTACCCCATACAACACCCCCACTTCCAAACCCCATTTCATCTCCATACACTCCCTTTCCAAACCAAATTACATATCCATAAAACACACTTCCTACTCCCATCCCCCATCACCTCCAACACCCCCCATCCCCCCCACCTACCCATTTATAATTCAAAACCCTACTCAACATTCCCCTCCTATCTCATCCACCAATACCCCCCATCATTACCATCTCACAACCCTCATCCCCCCCACTCAATAAACATCAAAACAACTCAACTTTCCACATTCCAAAAATCCCTATCTAACCCAACAAACCCCTAATCTAAAATACCCCTCTCACCCTCTTATATACCCTACCTCTACATCCCTTATCAATATCCCCAAAAACTACCCCACAACCCCCCCCCCAAAAAACAACTCTCTAAAAACAATAACTAAAAAACACACAATCTATAAAACAAAAACCAACCCATTAAATCCCACTCCCCATACCCTCCATCCCATATCCCCTCTTACCCCCTACCCCCTCTTACCCATCCCTATCCCATCCCACTTCACCCCCCATCCCCCCCCCACTATACCAATCTACTATAATCTCTCTCCCTATCCCCAATCTCAACTTCCTCCTACAACTACACCTCTACTAATCATCTTTCCCCCACACCTACAACAAAATCCTAACTCTAATAATTCTCAACTTCTCAAACCATCGTATTCAAATATCCCAATAAACAATTACTCTTAAACCTCCCATACATAACACCCCCCTTCTCACTCCACCTTCTCCCATTCCAACCCTTTCACAATTTTATTCATACCATCCTACAATTACCCTCACATCTCACCATCCATTTCACTACCATTTCCCATCCCACCCCCCAACATCCCTCTTCCCCCTCCCATTCTTCCCCTAACCCCTTCCTCCCCTAACCTTTTCCCTCTTTCCCCCCTCTCTACTTCCCCCTAATCCCTCAACTACAAATTACAATCACACCCTACCCCCTTTCCCTCCATAACCAACTCCACACACCCCCTAATACACCCCCCCCTAAATAACATCTACTCATCTAACCACTAACACCACTAACAAATACCATCCAAAACACCCATACTCCCTCATATACCCCCATACACACCACACTCACACCCCACCCCCCACCCCCAACAACAACCCCAAACACCACCAACCACCCCTCTTCCCCCACTCATCCACCATCTACCCCTACACCAACACAAACCACACATCAAAATCAACCCACCCAACCACACACATCAATATCCCACACCATCCCCCCTCCAACCACCTACCCACACCCCCCACATCCTCCCCACCCCCAACCCCACCCCCCCACAACCCACCACCCACCCACCCCCCACAACAACACCCCCCTCACAACACATCCACACCCAAATTCCCCCCAACCCACACCCACCCCCCCCCCACACACCCCCACACACAACCAACCACCAACACACACAACCCCCCCCACCCAAACACACACACCAACCCCACACAACCACCATCACCACAAAAAATACCACCCCCCCACTCAACCACCACCACCCACAAACACACCCACACCCCAACACACCAAACAACACCCCCCACCCACCACACCCCCACCCAACACCCACCCCCCAAACCCCCCCCCAACACACACCAACACACCCACCACCCCCCTACCCCCCCCCCCCCACCCCCCAACAACCCAACCCAACCCCCCCCCACCCACCACCCCCCCCCCCCCCACCCACACCCCCCCCCCCAACACCACACCCTCCACCCCCACCCCCCCCCCCCCACCACACCACAACAACCACCCCCACACCCACCACCACCACCCCCCCCACAACACCCCACACCACCCACCCCCCCAAACCACCCCACCCAACAAAACCCCCACCACCACCCACCCCCCACCCCCCCCCCCCACCACAACACCCACCCCAACCCCACACCCCCCCACACCCCCACACACCACAAACACCACACCAACCACCCTACCCACCCCACCCCACAAAAAACACCCACACCACCCACCAACAACACAACAAAACAAAAAAACACACCCCCCCCCCAACAAAAACAATAAACCCACACCCCCCACCACAAAAACCACACCCCCCCACCCACCCACCCCCCAAAACCCTCCCACCAAAACCAACCAAACCAAAAACCCACCCCCACCCCAAACAACCACCCCCCACCCACCCCCACACAACCACACAACCCAACCCCAACCCCCACCACCACAACACCCCACCCCCTACCAACAAACCATCACCCCCCACCCACAACAACAACACATACTACCCACCCACCCCAAAACATCACCCAACACAAACACCACAAAACAACCCCCCACACCCCTAACCCCAACCCACATAAACCACCACTTCTTTCACACACACTACATAACCACACCAAACCACAATCTCACCATCACCACCAAACACAACCCCACCAACCCCCCACCACTCTCATAAATCACACAACAAAAATCAACAAAACCCAAATCCACAAACACTCACAACACACCCCCAACAAACAACACAAAAACACACCCACAACCCAAACCACCACTCAAAACACAACACAAAACTCAAAACAAAATATCCTCACACAACATTCAAACTCCCCCATCAAAACACCTACCCAACCACCTCAACAAACCAAATTCCCCAAAATATTCTCAACCTCATCTTCCTACCCCAACAACTAACACACACCACAACACTACCATCTACACCACACCCTACACAACAAACACAACAAAAAAACACCACAAACAACACCAAACCCACAACCCAACAAAAAAACCAACCAACCCAAACACCCCACCAAAAAACCAACACACCCAAAAACAAACAAACCCCCACCACACCCCCCCACAACCCCCCACACCCCAACACCCACAACAACCCCCCCCCCCACCAACACACACCACCCCCCCCCACCAACACAACAACCCCACCTCCACCCCAACCCAACAAAAAACACAACAACAAACACCCCCCCCAACCACCCACACCCCCCCCCACCCCCCCACCACCACAAACACCAACCCTACAAACCCCACAAACCCACACCCCCACAACCCCCACCCCCCCACACCCCCCCACCCCCCCCCACCCCCCCCCCACCCCAACCCACCCCCCACCCCCCCCAACCACCAACACACCACACCAACCCCAAACCCACTACCAACAAAAAACCCCACCCCCCCACCCCCAAACCACCCCCCAAACCACCACCCCCCACAATAACACCCTCCCCAATCTACATTCCCCCCCAACACCAAACCCACACCCAATCATCACCCATACCCCATTTCACCATAACTCCCATACCACAAAACCTACCCCCACCCCCCCACAACCCTCCCCATACCCCACCAACCCCCCAAAATCCACCCCCACCCACAAAATCCCATTACCCCAACACCCTCCTCCCCAAACACCCCCCCCAACCCCCCCCCAACCCAACCAACAACACCCCCCAATCCCACCCCCATATCTTCCCTCACCTAACCCCCCAAACCACACATCTCCACCACCCAAAACCCCCCACCCCAAATACCCCATCATCTCCCTCCCCCCCTACCAACCCCCACCCTACCCATCACACATCTCCCACCCCATCCCAAACCATCCCCTACCCCCCTCTTACCACACACCCAAAACCACTCACCATAACCCATAACCACAAACTCATCCACCCCCCCATCCCCCAACCTTCCACCATACACAACCCCCCACACCACCCAAATCCCACACCCAATCAACTAAACCCCACTCCACAATACACCACCAAACCAAAACATCATCACCACCCCTCCCCTTCCCCAACCTTCTAACACAAACCATACCCCCTTCCCTAACATACCCAACAACTCACCATTTCACAATCCCTTCACAATTAACTTCCCAAATCCCCACCTAATTTCTAATCCCCCATCCAACCTCCTCAAATACAAATCCTCTTCCCCTAAAAATCCATCTCATTTTTCCCCTCACCACAAAAACAATAATCTCCCCCCCTACTCACATATATAACTCCATCTTATATTTCTTTCCTTCTTTCAATACCAATCCCCCCCAAACCACCAATAATCACATTACCCCCCTACCTATTCCCCCATTCACTCCACCCATCCCCCATACTTAACATCCCACCATCCCCCACACCCCAACACCATACCTTCTATCCCACCCCCCCCTTCCCCAAACCCCCCACCCCCCCCCTTTATACAATTACCTATATATCTTTATTTCACCCAATTCCACACATCACACTTAATTATCCCCCATCCTTCAAAACTCACCTCCCCTCAAAACAACCTAAACCCATACCAAAATAAACCTTCTCCCAACCCCAACACACATCATCCCACCCCCCCCCCCCCCCCCTCAACATAAACCTTTAATACCCCACCTCCCCCCTTATTCTCATACCTCAACTCAATCCTACACCCACCCCACACACCCCCATCTTACTAACCAAATCACCTACATCATCAATACTTAATCCATTCATCACATCCCACATAATCAATCCTCACCCCCTCCCTTCTCCACTCCCACCTTCCCCCCTCCCACCCACCCACCCACCCATCCTCCATACTCCCACCCACCCACCCACCATCCTCCCTACTCTCCCCCCTCCCACCCACTCCACCCACCCATCCTCCCATACTCCACCCCACCACCCACCCATCCTCCCATTACTCCCACCACCCACCCCACCCTCCTCCCATACTCCCACCACCACCCACCCATCCTCCCATACTCCCACCCACCAACCAACCCATCCTCCCATATCCCACCACCCACCCACCATCTACATACTCCCAACACCCACCCTACACATCCCACCCATTTCACCCACCCACCTTCCCCCATACTCACAATCACCCACCACCCACCCTAACAAACAATCAAACTCTACACAAAACTCCCACACCCCCATACCCACAACTAAAAACACTACCCCCCCCCATCCATACAAACCACCACACAAATACAACAAACAAACAACAAACAAAACACAAACTACCAAAAATTACCACACATCTCTTTACCTCTACTACTTCTCACCCATCTTTTCCCCCTCCTCAACTCCCTCCCTCCTCCTCTCCTACCTTTCAATAACACTATCCCCCCACCCACAAACAACCCAATCCATCCCAACCACCATACCATACTCCAATTCCCTCCTTACAATACACATAAAAATTCCACAAACCCAACCCTAACTAATCTAACCACCCCCTCTAAATCCCCAAACCCCCATACAAAACCCCACCCTCCAAAAAAATCACAACACCCTCCATCCCCACCCCAATCCCCTTCATCACCCCCCAACCCCCCCAAATTCCTAATAAATACCCCATAACCACCTACTCTAACCTTCACCCCCTTCCCCCCCCCTCCCCTCCCCTCACAACACCACCAACACACCAACCTAATAATAATAATTCTATCCAACAAAACATTTTTTACCCAAATCACCTTCCCACCTTCATACCATAAACCCCCCCCCAACCCCAACTAACCTTTAATATCACCACACAAAAACTAAACAATCTCTATATTCTCACACCCCCCCCCTAATTCATACCCACACCTAAAAACCCATATCCCCTTTTCATCAAATCCACCCACCCCAATCCTAACAATTACCCTTTTCCCCCTCATCCCCCACTCCAACAATCCCAAATTACCAACCAAAACCCCTACTACCATTCACTCCCAAACCACCTCATCAAAACAAAAACCCAAACCCCTCTATACCTCCAACAACAACAAAACTCACAAACCCCATCAATTCAATCCCCTACAAACATCATACACCACCATACCCACATCCTACATTCTTCCCCCCCCATCCCCTACACCCACCACCACCCACCACCCACCCTTCCACAACAACCACCCACCCAACCAAAATTCCCCACCCCCCACCCACAAACCCAATCACATACCCACACCACATCCCCACCCACCCACACCAAACAAACTTAACAAACACCACAACCCAAAAAACCAAACAAACAAACACCCAACATCACACAAACAAACATACAAAACACCAAACAACAAACAACAACATACAAAACAAAAAACAAACAAACAAAAAACAAACCCCCAAACTAACAAACAAACAAACATACAAACCCCAAAAACCAAACAAACAAACTTTACAAACACAAAACAAACAAACAAACATACACAACCAACAACAAACAACAAAACATACAACTATCTCACCAAACACCAAACAAATCACATACATACACACCAAACAACAAACAAACAAACATAAACATAATAATCTACAACCAACTTTTTCCTTATAATCCACCCCTCCCTATCAATTATTTCTTAATCCTTCCCCCTCCTCACCAACACTACCACCCAACCCACATACTAAACTACCTCTAAAACTATCATCAACCTCTATCCTCCTACCCACTATTTCCTAAATATCATATTCCCCCTTAATCCCCCCTACCTACATCAAATATACATATACCTCGAACTCATCCATCCAAAACCTCCCCCCCCCCCACCAAAACCAACCACTCCCTCATTCAACAATCACCAAACATTCCAAATAATCCCTCTCCTCCTACTTCCAAAACTTCCAAACACTCCCCCACATCCCACCCCATTAATCATTCTTAAACTTCCCAATTCAATATAAACAAACCCATACCCAACAACCAAATACTATAAACCATAACAAAACCCTCACATACCAAACAAACTCTCTTAAACCCCTCATAAATTACCCACACCCCTTCTTTCTCTCAATACCTCTACTCACACCATTATATCCTTCTTCCCACCTAACACCCCACACACATAATACACCTCCCACCCCCACATTCAAATATATCATACCCTCCCTTATTACATCACTTCAACTTTATCCTCTAATCCCAAACCTAACTATTCCCCCCCAACACAAAACACACCATTTCCACCCACCTACACTAAAACATTATCAATATCACCTAACCCACCTTTTTTAAATTCTCATAAACCAACCACACTCACTTCCTTAACCATACTATTAACCACATACCCACTCACAACCCTACCACACACCCCCCTTCATTCATATACCTCCCCCAAACTACCTCTCCTAATCAACCCATCACCACCCCCAACCACCAACACAAAACCTATACAACCTTACCCACATATCCCACAAACCCCCTCACACCCACCCCCACTTAACACACATTACATCAACAAACTCACCCATCCAAACCAAACAATACACACAACTAAACATACACATAACCAATCCTATAAACACATCCATACCCAATCTACCAAAATAAACCCCAACCCACTAAACATAACCCCATAAACACCTCCCATCCCAAAACACATATTCATCCCCTCCATCCCATCCCTTCATAAAACCAAATTCCAATATAACATACAAACAACTTCCTATCCCCATCCCATCCCAACCCTCCAAACAAACCCACAACCCCCCACTTCTTATTATTCAAAATTCCATCCCCTCAAAATTCCCCCCATCTATCCAATACCAACCCCATACCCTCAATCCCCCCCATCTCACCCCACATCCCACTCAATAACATAAACAATCCCAACCTCTTCCAATCCACATCCATCTTAACCCAACCCCCTTAATATAAAATCCACCTCTTCCACCTTAATTATACCCCCTACACTCCTACATCTTTATAATATCAAAACTACCCAAAACCCCCCCTAAACTTTAAAACACTACCTAAAAAACCAAAACCACAAATCTATAACACAAAAAACCAACTATTAAACCCCCTCCCATCAACTCTCCATCCCACAACTCACTCATTCCCCCCCTACTCTTCCATCCTACTCACCCTCCCAATTACCCCTCCCCCCCAACTACTCCCACCCATTCTACTTAAATTCTTCCCTTCCCCAATCCTCAACCCTCCTCCAACATAACACCCCCTTACAATCACATCTCCCCCAAACTACACCCACAAATCCTATATAAACTTCCACCCAACTACTCAACATCTCCTCCCTCCACAAAATCCATACTATCTTTTACTCTACCTCTATCAATACACCACCTTATAACCTCACTCTTAAACAATCTTCTCCCCATCCAAATTCAAATATACATACCCCCCCACCTCCCACCACCCCCTATCCCTTACTCTCCATTCCCAATCTCCCCACACCACTATCCACCAACCAACCCCCACTACCCCCCTACCCCAATCCTCTAACTATCCCTCTCTTAACCACCCTATACCCATCACACCCCTCATCCCATAACTACTTAACCCTCACACCTTCCTCCCCCTCCCCCCTCACTCATTACCCTACACAACTCTTCCCCCCAAAATTACTATCCTATCTCACCTTCCTAACCAACATATAACACTTCTACCTTCATATTACATACATTCACCCCCTAAAACACCCATTCAAACACAACCCCACAACAACCCCAACCCCCCAACACCCCACACACCAATCCACCCCAAACCAAAACAACCCCTATTCACCAAACCCTACAACCACTACCACCACAACTTAATATCCCAAACCCCTTACTAACTCCATTTTCAACCCTCATCCCCACTCCACCACCTCCCTCCACTACCCCAACCCATACAAACCACCCCCCCAATCCCCCACCCCCCAAACCCCACCACCCCCTCAACACCCACACACCACACACCTCAAACACCCCACAACACTACCCCCCTCACCCCCCCCCAAAACCACATCCCCCAAAACCACACATCCCCCACAACCAAACAAACCCCCCACACAACCACACAAACAGACCCCCTACCAACAACCAACAAATAAAACACAACACCCCAACACAACCCCACCCCCCCCACCCCTCAACACACAAACACACCCAACACCCCCCACCAACACCAACCAACACCCACCCCCCCACCCACTCCACCCCCACCCACAACACCCCACCCCCAATAACCCCCACCCCTAACCCCCCCCCCAACCAAACACACCCACCCACCCCCCCCACCCCCCCCCCCCCCCCCCCCACCCCCCCTGCACCTCCCACAACCCCCACCCACCCCCCCCACCCACCACCCCCCCCCCCCCCCACCCACACCCCCCCCCACCCACCCCCACCACCCCAACCCCCCCCCCCCCCCAAAACAACCACCATTACAACACAACCCTCAACCACCAACCACCACACCCCCCCCCACCATCCTCCACCCAAAACACACACCCCCCAAACCCACCCCCACCAAAACAACAACACCCCCACACCACCCACCCCTACCCCCCACCCCCCCCCCCCCCCCACCAACAACACCCCCCCCACCCCCCCCAACCCCCCACTCCCCCCAAAAAAACCAACCACACACCACCAAACACCACACCAACCCCACCAACCCAAACAACCAAACACACACCCCCCACCACCCCAACCAAACACACCAACAAAAAAAACACACAACTAAACACAAAAACACCACCCCCACCACAAACCAACACCCCCACCACAACCACCACCAACACCACCCCCACCTAACACCCACCAAAACCAAACACCACCCACCCAAACCACCCCCCCCCCACCACCCCCCAAAACCACAAAACCCCCCCCACAAACCCCCACACCAAACCACCCCCACCCCCCACCAACCAACCCACACCCCCCCCACCAACAACCAACCAACAAAACACCCCCCACCCACCACACACACCCCCACCACACCACCCCACACCCCACCCCACACCCCCCAACAACCCCCATCCCAAACAACCACCCACAACAAAACCACCACTAAAAAAAACCAAACAACCCCAACACACCACACACCCAAACCAACCACAACCACCCCCCCCCACACAACAAAACACCACTCAACCACACACCAAAAACAACTACCCCAAACCCACCACAAACACACAAACAACCCCAAAACAAACACACATAAACACACACACCCAAACCCAAACACACCCAAAACAATCACCTAATCAAATACTTACCCCCCCCCCCCCCCCCCCCCCCCCCCAAACCCACTATAACCCACAACAAAAAACATCACCACAACCCACCCACCACAACAAAACCCAAAACCCCCCAAACAACAAACAACCACCACAACCACCACCCCACAACCCCTACAACCCAACCCCCACACAACAAAAATAACACAACATAACCACACAAATCCATACACCTAAATCTCTAAAACCAACTACCCAACACCACAATACAATCAACAACCATTCCAATTTCCACACACAACCAATAACCCATAACCTCCCTACTATCAAACAAACCCCCCACCAAACCCCCAACCTACCCACACCACCCCTATATCCATCTCCCTCTCAACCCCCCTAAATTCACCACTCTCAATAACACACCCCAACCAATTTACTCTCCTACCCTCAAAAATCACATCCCCCTCTTAAACCACACCAAACACCTTAACTACACCCCACCAAATCAAAAAACTCCCCACCCACCCCACCCCTACACTAACTAAATACCACAAAAAACACTTTAAACCCCCCAACTTTCACCTCACACCAAATCATCCCCACCCACCCCTATCCCCCACCCCACTCCACCCCCCTCCCCCCCCCCCAACCCCCCCCTAAAACCTCCCAACCCCTAATCCTCTCCTCCCCCATCAACCATCACAAATCCCCATAATCAATCCACAAAACAACCCTCCCCCATAAACCCTTATCCTCCCACCCTTTACCCTCATCAACCAACTTTTTCCATCCCCTTTAATCATCCCACATCTACATTTCACAACTCACAATTCCATACTCCACAAATTTCCCTTTTCACATTACTCAATACACAATAATAACTACACACACTCCCCAACCCACCCAAATCAACAAAATTCCCATCAACCCACCCAACAAATCCCACAAATCAAATAATCACATCCCCTCTCCTCCCTCCCCCTTTCCCCCCAACCCCACACTAAAACTTACCCAACTTAACCCTATCCCCAAACCCCCATACCACAAATACACCCCCATATTCCCACATTCTCCCACAACCCTAAACCCCCCACAACCACTATACCCATTCATATCATCCCCATACCCCAACCACACCCTACCACTCACTCATCTCACAACCCAATCCCAATCTTAACATTCACCCCCTCTTCCACCCACACACCCACTAAACAACTCCACCACCCCACCACCCCCAACCCCCCCCAATCCATAAACCCACATAACCCCACAAACTCATCAACCATACCCAACATACAACCAATAAACAACCCAAACCACCCCAATCAACACCTATAAAATTCATACCCCACCCTAAACAAAATCTTCACAACCCAAACCACACAACATATCCCACCAAACCCCCTCCTTTCCCCCAACTCTCCACACAAACCATACCCCCCCTCTCCCCCCTCCAACATACCCAACAAATACCCATCTTCCTCCATCCCCCCTTCACCACTTACTTCCCCCCACACATCCCCACACCTAATTTATTCCCCCCCCCAATCCATACTCTCAACCTCACCACTTCTTCCCTCCCCAAAAAACCCCATACTCTTTTTACCCTCACCCACAAAAACAATATTCTCCCCCCCTCCTCACTATCTACCTCCCATCTTATATTTATCACCTCCTTTCAATACAATCCCCACACACCCACCAATAATCAAATTACCCCCCCTACTATCCCCCCATTACTCACCCTATTCCCCCTACTCTAACATCTCCACCCATCCCCAACCCCCAACACCATACCTCTATCCCAACCCCCCCTTCCCCAACCCCCACCCACCATTTATACAATTTTACCACTATATATCTTCATCTGCTCCCATTCTCAAATCACTCTTAAATCTCATCCCCCCCCCATCCCTTCAAACTCCTAACATCCTAACAAAACATAACCCCATACCAAAACTAAACCCTTCTCCACACCAACAACACACATCCCCCACCCCCCCCCCTCCAACCATAAACACTCCCTAATTCCCCCACCCTCCCCTTACCTCCTCTCATACATCAACCTCAATCCTTCCACCCCACCCCCACACACCCCCATATCTAACTAACCAAATCACTACACTAATTCAACATACATGTATCCATTATCCCAACATTCCACCCACATCTAATCATCTCACCTCCCTCTCCACCAACTCCCCTCCCCCTTCCCACCCACCCACCCAACCATCCTCCCATATCACACCCCACCCACCCACCAATCCTCCCATACTTCCCCTCCCACCCACCACCACCCATCCTCCATACTCCACCCACCCCCACCACACCCATCCTCCCATACTCCCACACCCACCCCCCATCCTCCCATACTCCCACCACCACCCACCATCCTCCATAATCCCACCAACCCACCCACCCATCCTCCCATACTCCCAACCCACCCACCCATCCTCCCATACTCCACCACCCACCACACATCCCACCCTTCACCCACCCACCTTCCCCCCATACTCACAACACCCACCCCACCCACCCTTACACAAACAAATCAACTCTACAAAACTCCCACCCATACCCACAAAACTAAAAACAATACCCCCCCCATCCATACAAAAACCACACAACTACAAAACACACAAACAAACAAACCACACAAACTACACAAACTTAACAATCTCTTTACCTCTACTACTCCTATCACCCATCTATATCCACCCCCCCACCTCACACATCACATCCCCTCCTCCTCTTCCATACATCTTCCCCACATAAACTATCCCCACCCCTACAACAACCCATTACCTCCAACACCATACCCATACCCCTTCCAATTCCCTCCTTACAAAAACAATAAAACCTTCCACAAACCCCAACCTAATATACCTTCCCCCACCTCCTAAATCCCAAACCCCATCACAAAACACCCTCAAAAAAAAATACAACACCATCCCACCCAATCCCCTCTATCCCCCCCCAACCACCAAAATCCTAAAAATACCCATAACCACCTACTATCCATCACCCTATCCCCCCCTCCTCCTCCACAAAACAAAAACCACCCTAAAAATAATAATCTCTCTCACAACAAAACTATTCTTTTAAACCCAAATTATACCACTTTTCAAACCCTAAACCCCCCCCCAACCACTAACCAAAATCACAAAAAACTAAACTACATCCCAAATTCTCCACACCCCCCTAAAAATCAATACCCACACAAAAAACCAAATCCCCTCATAATCAAATCCACCCCACCCAATCCTTAACCACATAATTCCCCCCAACATCCCCATAACCTCCCCCCAATTAACCAAACCACTACCATTCCCCTAACAACCACCACATCACAACAAAAAACCCACACCTCAATACTCAACACAACAAAAAATCACCAACCCACATCATTCAATTACCCCACAACAAACACCCACATACCACATCTACCTCTTACCCCCCAAATCACCCACACCCACCACCCCACCCACCCACCCCCCTTCCACACAACCACCCCCCCACACCAACAACCCCCCCCCACCCCACCCCCAACACCTACCCACACCCAAACCCACCCACCCACACCAACCACACATAACAAACACCACACACCCACCAAAAAACAAAACAAACACCCCAAACAATATCCACACAAACAAACATACAAACACCCCAAACAACCAACAAACCAACATACAAACACAACAAACAAACAAACAAACAACAACACCCAAACACAACAAACAAACATACAACACCCAACCCAACCAACCAAACAAACATACAAAACCCATACAACCCAAACAAACAACATATACCAAACCCAAAAACCAACAAACAAACATAACAAAATATACTACCCAAAACAAACAAACCAAACATCCACAACCAAAAAACAACACACAAACATACAAATCCATTAATTCCCTACCAACTTTTCTTATCATCTACCACCCTCCCTTACTTTCTTTCTATCTTCCTCATTTCCCCTCCCTCTCCAACACTCACAACCCCCCAACCACCCATCATAAAACAAATCTAAGACAATCATCCCACCCATTCCTCTACCCCTATTTTCCCAAAAATTAATCAAATTCCACCTTCATCCACCCCTACCTAATACATCTAAAAAAATCCTCATCCTCCCAACACCCTAACAACCCCACCCCACCTAAAACCCACCCCTCCCTATTCACACATCACCCAAACTCCAAATATTCTCTCCACCCTACTCATCTCCCAAAACTCCCCCCCCCCCATCCCCCCCTCCCTATAATCATTACTTATAATTCCCAATTAATATAAACAATCCCCCTACCCAACCACCAAATACTCATAAACCATACAACACCCCTACAATACCAAACAAACTTCTAACCTTCCTAAATTCCACACCCCTTCTTACTCCAAAACCTACTCACACATTATCTCTTACCTTCCCACTAACCCCCACACAACATATAACTCCCACCCCACTTCACAATATCCCACTCCCATACCCCTCCCTTATTCCAATCCTTCCACTCTCTCCTCCTAATCCAAAACCTTAAATATCCCTCCCCAACACAACCCTCACCATATCCAACCCCCACATACACTAAAACCTTCATCCACCTAACTCCCCACCCTAACCCACTTCTTTTAAATTCTATAAAAACCAACCACACCTACTCCTTACCATACTGTATTAACCCAACATACCCACTCACAACCAACCACAACCCCCTCTCATTCATATTAACCCTACCCCCCCAAACTACCCTCCTCCTAATCCACCCATACCACACCCAACCACCCACCAAACCTATACACTTACCAAATCAACCCCAAACCCTTCACCCCCCCACAACACCCCCAACCCAACCCCACCCCCACCCCCCCCCACCCCCCACCCACACCAACCTACACCTAACCCACTCCTAACCACCCCCCCACCTAACCTCACTCCCCCCACACACCCCCCCCAACCACCTCCCCACTCCCCACCCACACCCCCCCCCCATTCACTCCCAACAATCCCAACACCACCCCCAATAAAAAACCAACCACAACCCCTTCCACCACCCCACCAACCCCCCCCACCACCCACACCCCCACCCCCCCCCCCTACAAAATCAACACCAACACACCCCACACACCAATCCCCCCACACACCCACACCCCACCCCCACCCAACAAACCCCACACCCCCACCACACCAACCACCCCCCCCACCCCACAACCCACCCAACCCACATCCCCCCCCACCCCCAACACCACACCCACCACACAACAACACACCCCCCAACCACAACAAAAACCCCCTCCCCACCCCCCCCCCCCCCCCCCCAAACCCCCCCCACACCCCCCACCCCACCCCCCCCACACATCCACCCCCCCCCCACCCCTAACCCCACCCCCACCCCTCACCCCCACCCCCACCACCACACCCCACCTCAACCCCAACCCCACCCCACCCCAACCCCCTCCCCACCACAATACCCACCAAACAAACAACACAAACACCCACAAAAACCCCCCACCCCACCCCCCACACAAAACCCACACCCCCAACTCCCCCCCCCCCCCACCAAAATAACAAACACCAACACAACCCACAACTCCCCAACACCCCAATCCTCTTCTCACAACAACACAACCCACCCCCCCCCAATAAAACCCACCCCACAAAACCAACAACTCCAAACAACCACCCACACCAACCCACCACCCACACCACCCACCCCAACCCAACCACCCACCCCCCACACAACCCACCCCACCAAACCCAACCCAACCACAACCCCAACACACCACAAAACCACCCCAACCTCTTCACCAACCAACACCAAAACCACACACCCCCACCCCCAAACAACAACAACCCACCCCCACCAACCAAACCAAAAAACAAACCAACACACACCCACCACCCCCCACACCCAAAACCCAACAAACCCAACCAAACACCACAAACACACACCCCCACACCCCCCACACCCACACCCCCCACTCCCCCACACACCACACCCCCCCCCCTAACCCCCCACACCCCAAACACCCAACCAAACCCCACACCACACCCCCACCACCACACACCCCCCAACCACACACCACTAACCACTCCCACCCCACCACCATCACCCCACCACCCCCCCCCACCCACCCCCCCCCCCCAACCCCCCACCCCCCCCCCAACCCCCACACCCCCCACAACACACCACACACACAAAACCCCCCACAACCCAACCACCACCCACCCCCCCACCACACCCCCCCACCCCAACCCACCACACCCACACAACCCCCCACCAACCAACACACCAACCCCCCCACCCACCACCAACCACAAAAACACAACCCCCCACACAACACCACCACAAAAACAAACCCAACCACCCCCCACCACACCACCAACCACCCCCCACCAAACACCCCAACCCAAAACCCCACCCCCCAAACCCCCCCCAACCCCACACCACACACACCACACCCCCCCCACCCCCCCCCCCCCCCACCCCCCCAAAACCACAACCCCCACCCCCCCCCCCCACACCACCCCCCCCCCCACCCCACCACCCCCCCCCCCACCCACCCCACCACAACCCCACCCCCCCCCACCCCACCACCACCACACACACACACCCCCCAACCACCCACCCACACCCCCCCCCACCACACACCCCCACAACCACCACCCCCCAACCACCCCCACCCCAACACAACACCCCACCCACCACCCACCCCACCCCCCACCCCCCCCCCCCCACCAACAACAAACCACCCCAACCCCACACCCCCACCACCCCCCACCACACACCAAAACCAACCACACCCAACAACCCACAACGTCAACAACACAACCCTCCCCACCACCAACACAACACACAAAAAAAACAAAAACAAAACACAAACAAAAACAAAACCCACCACCAAACACAAACCACACCCCCCACCCACCCCCCCCAACACCCCACCCACCCAACACCCCCACCAACCCACCAACCACCCCCCCACCAAACCACCCACCCCCACCCCCACCCCCCACAAACCACACAACCCCCCACACCACCCCCCACCAACACAACACCCCACACCACCAACCAACACACCCCCCCACCACAAAACCCACCAAAACAACCACCCCCCCCCACCCACACCACCACCACCCACCACCCCCACCACCCCCCCAACACCCCCACCAACCCCACAAACCACACACAAAAACACACCACACAACCACACCACAAACCCCCAACACACACACCACACCAAACACACCCCACCAACCCCCCCCACACAACCAATAACACACACAACACCAACACAACAACAACCAAAACCCCACACAACACACAACACACCAACACAACAATAAAAACACCCCACCCAAACACACACACAAAACACTACAAAAAACAACAACCAAAAAACAATCACAACAACAACAAAACAACACCACCAACCACCACCACAACACACCAAAACCAACAACAAAACACCCAACAAACCACCCCAACACCCCCTCCCCCCCTCAACCCACAACACACTACATCACCAACATCACAAAACCACAACAAAAAAACCACCAAACACAACACCCACAACCCAACCCAACCCAAACAAACATACAAACACCCACATTCCCCTACCAAACCCCTCAATCACACCATCTCCACCCTAACTAACATTATAACAACACCCACACTACCCCACCACTCACCAAACCCCCCACTCAACCATCCCCCTCTCCAACCCCCCCCTAAATTCACACTCTCCATACAACCCCCCACATAATCTTCCCTCCTACCCAACCTACACACCCCATTTAACCCTCACCTACTACCATATCTTCTCCACACCCACCAACCCACTCCCAAACAATACCCCAAACATCAATAACTAATATAACTAATATACACTATTACCCCCCTATTTCACCTATACCAATATCCCCCATCCCCCCCCTACCCCCCCTCACACAACCCCCCATCCCCACCCCCCCACCCCCTCCACCCCTATCACCCCCTAACCACCCCTTATCCCTCTCTCATCCCAACCCATCACAAATCCCCCATCAAATCATCACAAAAACCCCTCCCCCCCCCCATAACCTATCTCCACCTTACCCTCAACCTCAACCCACATCCTCTATTCCTCCCCTTATATCCATCCCAATCTAAATCCCCCTTCCACACTCCCCATTCAATCTCCCCCACATTTTCCTTTTTCACCATTACTAATCTCAAAATAATAACCCCCTACCACAAACTCCCAACCACCCCCCCAATCCAATAAAATTCCCATCCAAACCCCACCCAAAAATCCAACCAAATTCAAGAGAGAATCACATCCCCTCTCCTCCCTCCCCTTTCTCCCCCAACCCCAAAAAACTACCCACCAAAACAATCCCCCACACCCCAAAACCAAAACACCCCCCAAATTCCCACATCTCCCACCCCCATAACCCCCCCCCCCCCACCCTCCTACCCATCATATCAACCAACCAACCATACCCCCTACCACACCCTATCCTACAACCCAACCACACAATCATATCCCCCTCATATCACCCAACCCAAAACAAACACATAAACCCACCTACCCACAAACTCCATCCACCTTCCCACAACCAAACACCCCCCTCCCCCCCCCCCCCACCCAACCACCCCCACACCAAACCAACCCCCACACACCCCCACAACACCCCCCCCCCAAAACCCCACCCCCCCACAACCACCACACCCCACCCCAACCCCCAACCCCCACCCACCCCCCCCACCCCCACAACACCACCCAACCCCCAAACCAACCCCACAACCCACCACCAAACCTCACCCCCCACCCCTACACACCAACCCCCCAC